GTGCACCTACTTGGTGTGTTGCATGAGCATTGTCTTGCTCCCGTGATCAATTAACACTGGGTTTTGGTCGAATGTAGGTGTTAGGAAACACCGAATCCGCCATCGTTCTCAAACCGGCAGGCTTCGCAGCCACGGTGCGGCGCCCATGCCCTTTGTTCAATTGGTTGCACTTGCACCACCATCGTCGATTTTCCACCACGCATCGCCGCCCAGCGCCATCAGGGAGCAGCTCTGATTCTCACCTGCCCCCAGATGCACTGAAGGAGACTCGGGGGTAAGTTGGATTGTCACTAACACCGACACCACTACACCTGAAGTCACTTTCACCCACAGCAATGTCCACCACCTTTGGTACTACGCCACGCCGGCAGCAATTCATTACCAGCTGAGCAGTACCTCTCGTTGCCCATCGGCGGGTTGTTTACGTCGAGAGAGGTTTGCTGCACGGCCACAAGATGGCGCCTCCGTTTGCCCGGCGACGGCGCAGCGGAGTTGGAGCTGCTGCAAGCAGTGTTAGATGCCCGTGGTGCCCAAAGGAGTTTCCTACGAAACATGGTGTGACAATCCACGCTGGGCGTGCTCATGGGAAGAAACTTTCGGATATAAGGATCAATTCCCGTTCAGCTACTGGATCCCAGCCACCCACATCTTCCCCGTCCTCCTCTCTTGGAGCTGTTCTCTCTGCAGCCTCTTCCTCTGCTGTTGTCAACGCCGAGGGAGAGAGGGCGCCTGGTACTGTTGAGGAGAGCGCCGCCGTTACTGAGCCAGCGCCGCCAGCCACTCTGCCTTTACACAGAGCGCTGGCGAACGCGAAACTCACCAGGAAGATTCTTCGGAGGATTCCGAAAGGCGCGCGAATACCGGTACGCAGGTTGCTCCACGACCTACTTAAGGAAGTGGCTGTCAAAAATGACGTGCAGAGTTGGAGTGCGTTGCTCACCTTTGCACCGAGGGTGTTGCATGTTGACCAACAGAACAGAGGGGATAAGAGTCTTGCTGCCATAGTTAAAGATAATGTGGTGTCTTTCTATAGCACCGCATTAGAGCCTATGCAGCAAGAGGGTAGAGGCAAGCGGACCATGGATGATAAGAGCCGTGCTACCATCGCCGGCCACAAGCTCTCCATGGATTTCAACGTTCGCGCTGCAATACGCATTCTGGCGTCCGACGACTCGATAGCTTCAGTGACTGAGGAGTCTCTGGCGGAGATGCGGGCTAAGCATCCTCCTGCTCCGGCAGATGATGCTTTTCCTGCTCCTCCAACAGGACCTTCGGTTGCTGGCTCGTGTTCGTCCGATGATGTCACCAAGGCACTTCTGTCATTCCCCTCAGGTGCTGCAGGTGGGCTCGATGGCCTGACCCCTGATCACCTGAAGTGTCTTCTCCAGACCAACGGAGACCAAAGCGAACTGCTGGCCACAGTCGCTAAGGTGTGTGACATCATTCGTAATGGACAAGTGCCTGAAGGCGTGCGCGATGTTGTTTATGGCGGCTGGCTGATCGCGTTGAGAAAGAAGACTGGTGGCTATCGGCCGATCGCAGTTGGGTGCACACTGCGGCGGTTGGCAACCAAAACTCTTCTGCCTCACGTCGACGGCAGCTACCTCCGACCTCGACAAATGGGATATGCCACCAATAACGGAGCAGAGATTATTGTCCACACAGCACGATCGTTTCTGGAGAAGAACGAGAAGTGCTGTCTTCTCAAGTTGGACTTTAAAAATGCATTCAATCTTAACAAGCGCGGCAGACTGCTGTTGGAGGTAGCCAACCATGCAGCTGCCCTCTACCCCATGATGTACCAGGCTTACTCCAGGCCAACGCCGATCATGTTTGGGGAAGAGGAGATTCTCTCTCGCGCTGGCTGTCAGCAGGGGGATGTGGCCGCTCCCCTGGTCTTCAGTTTGCTGCTTCATCAGTATGTTAAGAAAGTCACTTCAGCAGTCCCTCTGTTTTACCTGGATGACGGTACCCTGTTGGACACCAACCCCTCGGCATTGTTGTATGACATCAGCATGCTGAGGGAGTTCGAGAAGTACAGCGGATTGCAGCTCAATCCTGCCAAGTGCGAGCTGTACTTGCAAGGATATGAGGAGGCCGAGCGTCTCCGGATCACCGAAGAATTCCAACAGGCTCTTCCGAACGTCATTATCAGGGATCGATGCGACCTCGATCTCCTGGGCTCTGCCGTATTTCCTGAGATGGTGGGCCAGGTGCTGACCGAGAAGGGAGAGCAACTCTCCCGTCTTTATCAGCGCTTGAAACACCTGAAGAAACATCAGGCGTTCTTCCTTCTCCGCCACGCTATGGGAGTGCAGAAGGTGTCTTATGTGCTTCGCACTGCACCGGCGTTTCTCCTCCCGGCGGATACGATCGACCTTGATGACATGATACGGCGAGCTCTGGAAAACATTGTGGACCTGTCTCTCGACGAGCAGGCTTGGAAGCAGGCCAGCCTTCCGGTTCGGCTAGGCGGAATGGGCATCCGCTCGGCCACTGACCTCGCGCTGCCTGCTTTCCTGGCATCCTCACACTGCTGCGCAAGCAGCGTCCTCTCGATCGCACGGACCACCGTCAGCCATCAGGAAGCAGCTCTCCGGCTCTGGGATTCGCTTCAGCTCGGCCGACCCTTGGATGATCAGGTCAACAAACAGAAGGGGTGGGACCATCTCGCCTGTAAGGCTTCCTACAATACCCTCCTGTCGACCTGTAATTCTGAGGTAAGCCGTATCCGTCTGAAAGCGGTCTCATCCGAGGCTGCAGGTATATGGCTCGACGTGTTCCCTTCTGACCTGGTGGGTACCCAGCTAGCGGACGACCACTTCCGCGCAGCCGCAGGGCTAAGGCTGGGGATCCCTATGTTCCAGAGGGACATCTGTCAGTGTGGAGGACCCGTGGATGAACTCGGCCACCATATGCTTAGCTGCAGGAAGCTGGCTGGCCTTGTACAAGGACGTCATGACGCCATCAATGATGTTCTTGGCCGAGCTTTCAAGCAAGCAGGCTTTAGAGTGACTCTGGAGCCAGGTGGCCTCCAATCTGATGACAGGCGCCGCCCGGACGGCTTAACCAGCCGAGACTGGGAGCGGAACAAGCCACTTGCGTGGGATGTGACCATCTCCGACACTTATGCTTTGGGTTACCGAACATGGGCGTTGGAGGGGGTCGGACACATCATCCACCAGCGGGAGATGCACAAGCGGCGTTTTTACGCCCACCTGCTGGAGGATCACGTCTTTTTGGCCTTCGGATTGGAGTCCTCGGGTGTGTGGGGCAAGGATGCCCTCAAGCTGACCAAGGAGCTCGGACGGAAGCTCTTCGAAGCCACCAAGGAGAAGAAGTCAACTGCCTATCTCCGTCAACGAATCTCTCTCGAGCTACAGAGGGGGAACGCCAAGATGTTGCTGGCAAGAAAAGAAGCTAGCAAAGATTTTAATATTCTGAGAAATAATATTTTAATTAATAATCTTATTTAATATTTCTACAAAAAGTTGTGATATTTTATACATATTGTTTTGTGAAATAAATCAATTATTGTGCAAAAAAAAAGAAGCACGTCAGCATATTTGAAACACGCCGACG